TCATTTGCTGCAGTTTGTTCTAATAGAACAGGCACAATGGTGTAAGAATTTTAAAGTTTAAGCACCGAAGCCGGTGTGTAATTGTATGGCGTCAGTGTGGCTGGCGGCCCTGCAGTTGATGCGATCCCCTTGGGTAATTGCCCATGCAAATTTGAGCAAACTGTAACGGACACAGGAACTCAGCAGTTGTCTGCAGACTTTCCTACCTCCAAAAGAACTTCAATAATCTGAAGAAGCTTTTGTTATCTTTAAAATGCTATATGAACAGGATTATCCCAGTATCCTTCTCACCCAGGCAAACATCACAGATCAAGGCAAGGTTAATGAGCTACATTAACAGTCAAAATATGGATTGTAGATATTTGTATGTGTGCTTCCTTTCAGTCCTTAAATCACCCTTCTCAAAAGAAATAAAGATTATTCCAGAGCTTCAGTTAGACGTCAAGCATTTTATTAAAAACAAATATATTTGGGTTTCTTAAAGCAGACTATTTCAAAATCATGAATGAGTTGCTCATGAAATGGCCAAGCAGGCTATGATGTAGTATTCTTCTCGTGAATCATCAGTCTGGGAAATTGACACAAAGGGAATGACTTCAAACAATTCAATTGAAAACCTATGTCCCTTCCTTTGTGTAAAACAATAATAAACAGGAAGCGAGTCAGTAGGGGATCCTTTTCAGATTATTGTACATCAGAATAAAATGGCAAATGCAATTTCCCTTCAAGGGAATGAGACTCAACAAAACCTTCTATTTCCACACTCTGCTGTTTTTGTAAAATCTGTCTAAATATGATTTAATCTAAATCTAAACTAAAGCAAAAGGAAAATTGAAATTCTATCACACATATACATGCAGAAAATGAACATAGAGATAAATGATGGCCACGAATAACATTTTCTCCAGTAAATACTTCATTTACTTAATAAAACAAACATACTTCTTCTTAATAAAACAAACATACAAACATACATCCAACAATACTGGTGTAGGTATGATGCACAAACAAACAACGCATCTTCAGCACTGCTGAGAGATGTACCAAACATGGAAGAACATTCTAAATTAACTTTTAAAAAATGTACAACCCAAAATTACTAGCTGAAAAAAAGGTTGTGACACAGCAATGAAAGCCCAACGTGGGGCATTGCTAAATCTAAGTCCATCATGAAATTCGCCAGATATACCTCATTTGATTTCTGCCCTCCGCGTGTCCTATCCTATTATTGTTCACTTAGGAAGCTTATAAAGTTCCAGCCTTCTTGTAGCCATACTTAATCTTTAAATTTCCTGATGCATTTGAGTTTGGGGAGTTCTTTACAGCATGTGGCTATGGTTATTCTGAAGCGGATAGTGAAGCTTCACCACAGAAGCATTCCCAGAATTTTTAGGGTCACAGATTAAGTTTGTTCCCTGTTGCTTTCATGAATCCTTTTTGCATTTTGATTTTTTTCCCGCAAGCTAAAGAACTTTAAAAAATATATTTAAATCTTTCCCTAATATGTTTAGATTTCTGTCTCACTTGAAGGAATTTTTTTCACACTGTTACTGGCGATGAAATTTTTTATCTTTCTGTAATTCTTAATAGTCTGCAGGAAAAAAGTGGATTTTAAAATAATTGTATTGCCAAGTAAATAGAACAGACTCTGTTTAATGACCTAAGGTAAGTGGATAAAGGATGATAGATGTTGATACATAGAAATGCAAGTGAATTTTGGTAGCATTCATGTTAGAGGATACTGTTATTGCACCAAGGCAGAGTTTTAAAGATCATTTGCAACCCACTGTGTTTGCAAATATGAAGTATCTGGAAATGTGTAGATATCTCAGATTTTAGAAGCAGAAAATGTGTATATGGTTTTGACTTCTCTTGACCCAATTTATAAATTTATTTTTAAATTAATGACTACCATTTATGGGCCAGCTGTGATATGAGATAAGCTAAAATTGTTCTTTAGGAAATAAATGTATGTGTGTTTTTAAAAAATTATATCAGTGACCCTGTCTTTCACTATTATTAAAGGGAGGCTCAGACATATCTACACATATTTCATATATGTAACTTTTTATTGTGTCTTTAGTAAGAAGATGACCTCTTTAGGTTGTTCCTACTTTATTTGAGAAGAATAAATAAAATTATCTGGAAAAATTTTTAAAGCAAAACACATCTTGGTCCTTTGCTGTGGGAATTGAATGAAAAGTCAGTGCCTTCATTTAATAGGTGGAAGACCTGACACCTGGAGAGTTTTGAGATTACAGGTCTAGCCAATGATCAAGCTAGGGCAGAGTCCCAGTCTACTGTGCACTAGATGGCATCCTTTGCAGTGTGGGGAGCTTTCCCTACCTGCCAGGAATGCCAGGTATACAGTAGGTTGTGTATTTGTCCAGATCCCTACCTGCCAGGAATGCCAGGTATACAGTAGGTTGTGTATATATTATCTACATACCAGCTAACAAGAATAAATGCCATGTCTGAAAAAAAATCTCATAAAAAGAGTAGGGTGATGTCATTTCTACCATTATACCAGGAGACCTGAGGAAGCAAATACAATCTGATCAGTTTGAGATTTTTCCAAGAAAATTCACATTTTAAATGCCTTCCCCCAGAGAGAAACATTAATAATGACTGGGATAATTTGTCTTATTTCAGAAAAGCAGAGTGTATGGTACATATACCTCACATTCTTAGAAAATTACAAATTATTTAGAAATGGGATTAAGAATACCTAAAACCTGCATGAGTTCAACCTCTAACCCTCGGGGGTTTTGGTACAAGGAAGGCTGCTCCCCTCCTTTCCACAGTTTCACGGTCATGGGGGATCAGATCCATGGCATTAGTCAGCAGTTTTCTGCATCTTGACCCGCAATAGGAAAGATACCTTGAGACAGGAGAAATAGATGGAGGCAATTACAAACAGCTGCTTGATTGATGGTTGACATTGTCAGGGCTCCACTGGATGGCAGATTGCAATGGTGTTGAACTCCCCTTGCTACCAGTGGATGTTGCTATTGGCAACCGTGCAGTGAAGCCAATAAAAAGGGAAGAAAATGAGAGGAAAACTCAACCTTAGTGGAAGCTGTAGGGTTTGTGCTATAAATTATGTTCCCCTTAGCAATATGTAGCATCAACGTTCAGGGTAGCTACAGTGCTTGTAGCTGCCTATGGTCTCTGTCAGACCCTGGGTCCAGTTTTATCATAAAGCACATGCTTTAAAATGTTGCTCTAGATGGACTGGAATCCATTTGTCTGGGCTATTTATTGTTGGGGAGGATAACAGATGTGGGCCCATCTCTACCTCACATGGACTGATTTTCAATTCCCATTCGGGATATAAACAAGATGTGGCATGGGACGGAGGAGCACCTGCAGTGCTTCCGAGCTGCAGACAAGCAATAATCTCGCAGACCAGGCTGGGTCCCTAACTCCACCCGTGCTTTCTTTGTTCCTTACCTGAAGGAGGGAAGACAGCCCTGCAGAAGCTATTTTCCTTTATAGTAGAGTGATTCAGAAAACTGGCTTAATAAAATCCATAAATCTGAACAACCTCCTCTTACCTGCTCTGCAGAGGCAGTTTTTCCTGTACTCATTTTCTCCTCTAGTTTCTCCCGTCTTCCCTGCACAGACAGCTGTAAAGGGGAGCTAGGAACATTATTTTTTAGGACTCCCACTCCTTTCTTCTCTCCTTTGTCAGACCCCTCCCTGCTCGAGTGTCTCTCTTTCCTAAGCAATTGATGACAGGATTCTACACTTTCATTTCTGGGGTTGGAAGTGCCATTTTTCTTTATTTGGATTCACGTTCACCTTTCCTTTGACAGTTCTTTAACCACCTGCCTCACTCCCTATCTTTTCTTCATTGGTCTTCTTATTTTTATTTTCTTCTTCCTTTTTTTTCCTCTTTACTTGGTTTATAATATTTTCCACTTCATTTCTTGCTATAAAGAATCTTACTAAAAAACAAAGAATCTTATTTCTTCCATAAAACTACCAGCTCTCTCTTCACTTCCTTAATTTCACCTATTCCTTCTGCAAACATTTCCCTAATGTCTACCATGGGTTGGGAAACAATGTCCCTTAAAGAATTTGGCTTCTAGTTCTTTAATATTTGAGTTATAAGGTTAATAACCAATACTGATTAGTAATAATAAGAACAAAATTACTTGTAAGTTTTAGAATTTTTAGAGCTAGAATGGACCTCAGGTTTCATCTAGTCCAGGGATTTGCAAACTCCTCAAAGTCACTTGGTGGACCACCATGTGTGTACTCAAAAAGATGAAGATCAACAGGGGCTCTAGATCCCCATACTCTACTGCAGACAGAGGAATTTTTTTGTTTTTTGTTTTGAGACAGTCTCACTCTGTTGCCCTGGGTCAAGTTCCATGGCATCATCTTAGCTCACAGCAACCTCAGACTCTTAGGTGGAATTTGACTTTTTGATATTTATTTCTTGGTGATTCCTTGATTTACTTGAACACAGAGTTCTAAGGTTAAAAACTGCTTGAATATAATTTCTTAGTATGATACGAATAAGGAAGTAAGCTTGGAGAAGTTAAGTGACTTGTCCAGATTGATCCAGTCAATAGTGCTAAAGCTAAGGATAAAAGTCTATCTTCTAGCCCACTGTCCTTTGGATAAGACAGGCCATGTCTTCAACCTTTCCAGTAAAATGGTAAGCAAGGCAGGGCTCTAGTAATTGCATCTATTTAATACAGTATATTCTTCCCTATGATGAACCTGGCTTCCCATAGAATACGTGTTCTCTGTCCAGACTATTATTCCTTAGTCTTTAAAATATATTTTTAAAGGAAAAATTCAAAATTGAGGACCCCTGTATTTGGCTTTAGGTTGGTTTCTGGTATAATAGTAACCATAAATTTTATACTGAAACTCATCACTAGGATAACTCAAGGTCATCAACTCTCAATCTCCATGGCTCTGCTGTGTCCTGTGAAATATCTCTTAGTGTTGAAACTAGTTCCTAAAATGTTCCTAGCAACTACAGTTCCTAGATGTCACTTGTGGTAAATCCAGCTATGGATTTTCTTTCATCCTTACTTTAATTAAAGTCTATTAATCCATTCCTGCTGGGAGAAGACTTGGTCTCTAATGAAGGTTGAATTAAACAACTCTGACTAAGGGGACTAAGGTCCCAATGTAGAATCCCAATCAGACAAACACATTTGCTGTAACTGTACTATGAACCTTTTGGAGGGCGAACTGGGAGTGGTTGGTATTTATAAGGATAGTATAGCTTATCTTTCAGGTAGGTAATTCTAAGGCTCTGATCCATCATTAAAAGGCTTTAGGGTTAAAAACAAAATACTTCTAGAGATTACAAATCAGAATTCTTGGGACAGTCTGGCACAAAAGGGCATTCAGAGAGAGGAAGCAAAGGCAGCCAGTGTTTGGCTTGTAACAAACAGAAGAGCCATAAACAAATGAAGCTGCTCTAACAATGCTTTCACGATTCTGTGTTCCCTCAGCTCAGAGAGAGAGCAGGGCCAACTGTCCTCAGGTCCTTGGATCCCAAATAGTCCTCTCCCCAGAGCTCTCATCTCAGCCCATGTGTGTTCATCAGAGGGAGGTGAGGGTCCTGGGGCATGCTGCCTGCCCCACCTCCTTTGTCCTTCCTGTCACTCTCTCTGGTGCTGACCATATTTCAACGTGAAAGCTAATACATGCTTCCCAGTGCATCCTCAAGACTTTAGGTCTAAGCTAAAAGAACAAAGGGATGATGTGGCTGGACTGGAGCTTCAGGATGCAGTCATTTTGCAGCAGCAGCTGACTTGGAGGTTTGGTTTCTGTCCTCGGCTACCAGGAGGCTGGCAGTGGAGGGAGAGGCAGCAGAGACCAGCAGCCTTTTTTGGTGCAGTTCTTCCCACTTACTTCTGTTTGCAGCCACCGAATCTAGCATTGGCTTCAGCTTCACATTGACTTTGACCAATGCCTAAAACAAAACAGAAAATAGGTGGGGGAGAGAGGAATCAGAGACCCTGACATGATTTTCCACCTTTAATTTATGAGGAAAGTGGAAATTGACTGTAAGAAATGACAGTGATGATTATTTTGGCAAACGAGAGCTATTTACCAGAAGTAAATAATTCTGCTTTAAATATGCATTTAACCACCATTATATTGTGTTAATAGAGCTCTATGCAGGGAGGGAAAAAATAAAACAGGGTGGTTGTGTAAACTCCAGGGGGCACCAGGAACACGTACTCTGATTTTGTTTCACAGCCATAGGGAGGAGGGAATGTAGGGTGTGGCCAGAGGCATGTTGACCATCAGGCTAAGAAAGATCAGACTTCAGTGTCCCCACTTGCACCAGACCCTCCTAAGTATCTTTTTCTTAATTTCGTGTGTGTGTGTGTGTGTGTGTGTGTGTGTTTATATAGGGAACAGTCTTCCTATTCTTACAATATGAGCCTCTCCTCTGACAAAACCTGGATTGCCCAGGTAGTGGTGGAATGAGTAAAGGTAAAATGGCTCATCTCATTCGAATTAAATGCAAATAAATAATTCTGCATCAGAGGGCTGCTCAGGGATAGGGGTTAATGTGGGAGTGGGGTGGAGGATCTTGCCTCTGAACTGGAGCTAGAACAAATTCAAGAAGCTCAGGTTAAACAATAATTAGGTAAATATCTCACAGTCCAGAGTGGTGCAGGGTAAACTGTATTTCCCCAACAGGGAAATTCCATTATTCTCTGCTTCACTGAGTTTTACAAGTAAATGGTAAATTTAAAAGTTTATGGAGTTCCTTTTCACCCTTTTAAATGCATGAATATCTTTATTTTTATGTTAATTTTTAAAAACTTTTCATTATGACTCCAAACATATTCAACCAGTAAAATATGATCCGTGAAAATATCTATTAAGTATCTACATGCCAATACGTATGAATAATAAATATAGGCTACCCATGTAAAACATATACAACAAAGCATCTGGGAGCCTTTTTATTTCCTGGAAAGCTCAATAAAAAAGGAAATTAGATTTTGATAACATTTAATTTTTTAGAAACATGGCCTTTATTTTTATCCTTTAAAATGTGGGCTTTGGGGAGTTGTTTTAAACATAATGCTTTTTATTCCCTTTGTAGTTATTTCGTATTTTATTTTATATTAAAAGAGATTTTAGAAAATATGGGAACAAAAGCTTTTTAAAAAGCAGGAAGTAGAGATAATTTGTAACCTTACAACTCAAGAGATAATAATTACTAACTCTTGCCTTTTGCCTTGCATAAGATCCTTCTATTATGTTTTCTAACTGGTTAAATTATCTAGATATCTATCAATAAAATATATTCCCATGGTTGTATTTTTAGAACAGCAGTTTACAAACAGGCAGAATCAATGAGAAGGTATGGATTTTTCAGCATTCAGGCTTCCTGGACTTTGCATCTCCAAGGTCTAAAGAAGTATGAAAACCTGGCCCCTCCACATGGATAAGGAGGAGTTTCCAGACTGAACACCTACAATGTGTGTTAACTACATTGCCAGCTGCTCTACATCATCTCAGTTACTCCTCACAATGACTCTGCATTGTATAGATGATAAAACACATTTCCTGCATGTCAGGAGTTATCATGGATAACTGTTAGTTACTGTTATCATGGGTAACTGTTAGTCCTTCCACTATAGGAGGAAGATAAGAGTCCAGATAGGAAGTTAAGGGTTCCTTTTGTAATCTTACCATTTGTTTTGGAAACGAAGGAGAAAACCATTGCTTTTTTCAAGTAAAAATCAAGGATGGGACACTCGCCTGCCACACAGAATGAGCATAGAGAGGAAGCTGTGGAGGATGTAGCATAGAAGGGTAGCTCTGACAAAGCGAAGAAGAAAAACAAAGAATAACAAGGTCTACACCTTCAAATTGTGTGGCTTCAGCCTTTATCAATAATCAGTTCAGACCAGCTAATAATTTTGTTATTCATAAGGATTTAGAAATTGAGGCAGGAACTTGGAGGACGCTTTGAGTGTGATTGCTATTGTCATCAAATTGGGATGAAGTCTGACACCAGGAACTTCCTTCTTTTCTTTCTACTTATTCATATCCATATTTCCTTTCTTCATTCTTCTTATCCATCAATTCTATCACCTGCCATCTTGGCTATGTATGGAACACTCATGAATTCTGACCTGAATTGTCAAGAATGTCCAGCTTTTGAATTGAATCTTTATATTTCTTAAGGCTTCCCTGTCCCTTGAGATTTAGTTGTAACTTGACCTCAATTTTATTTCCTTGCTTTGCACATATTTCAGATTCCTCTCCATGATTTCCAAATCCTACTTCCTTCTGTTCTTTGATTTCCTTCTTAAATTTCATTTCATCTCCCTTTTTCATCGGAAATCCGATCACCCTCAATATTTTGGATGCCTACTAACTACTGAACATTAAAGGCTGTCACAGGAGAAGTGACTTACCCACTGACTCAGTCCTACATGCTCTTCCCCACCTCAAGGGCTGCAGTCTGTTGCTTCATGGGAAGAATAATCCAGTTTTCTCCCCAGTCCTATCTCACGATTTTTATACAGACCTGTTCTGCCAGCCAGTCTGCTTTCCCTCTCTTGGTATACTAAGCTCTACAGGGTGGTTTTTATTTTTCCCTATAAAGACATGAATAAAGGGGCGGCACCTGTGGCTGAAAGGAGTAGGGCACCTGCCCCATATGCCGGAGGTGGTAGGTTCAAACTTAGCCCCGGCCAAAAACTGCAAAAAAAGAGACATGAATAAAAGAAGGAGCTTGGAGCTATGAGGTTGTTAGTGTATAGAAAGGTGATGTTCCTATTTTATGCCATGGGCCAGTTAGCTTCTTTTTATTATTTTGTTGTTGTTGTTGTCATACATTATGCCTCTGGTCCAGTCGTGTAGAAGTCACATTACAGTTGTATCTCCTTCATCACAAGGTGGACAAAAGGTGAACATATGATTACACTACTGAGATCTCAGCACACTTCCTGAAAAGCCTTCTCCAAGCATGGCCTTTGGTTAGGGAGTAGTCAATAGTGAGGTCCTCCAATAGGAAGAATAGCTCTTCCTGTTGAGGATGGTGGCAGGAACTCCCCCAAGCACAACACAAACCACCTGCTAATAAACCTGATTAACCCACTCAAATAACTCTCCACTCCAGGGAGTTACAGGAACATGAGTAAAATTTAACTAGCTGTAAGTTAAAGGAGTTGGGGGGAAGATAAAAGCCCAGAACCAGTCACCCTAATGAATAGTGAGTGCTCCACCTTGGCTGAGATAGTACCTCTCTTCACATCAATGTCCTTACAACCCAAGGAGGAGGGAAGTTAGTGATTGACCCCAATAGTGTTCTTTTTTTTTTTTTGCATATTTGTTTATGCAGGACAGCAGAACATACAAAAGATAACATCAGTGGAGTCAGTCCCTGACTGCCATTAGTATGCGACTATTACAACAGTATATTCTCTCTCAACAGCCATGTTTATCACAATAAGCAAAAGCATCTAGTTTTAAATCAGATATATTAGTGATTTCATATGATAATAAATCCAAAGCAACATAGTAATTCAGGCAGTGATTATTTGCTCTCTGTGCAATGCAGTGGTTTTATTTAGACAATAGTGTGAGGGAGCAACGACTGCCATGATTTTATTTAGTATAGTTTGGCACCAGCTCCTCTTGCTTTGATCAAGCCTTTTAATTAAACTGACTACTATAATTCCTATGGAAATTAGTGTTTATGTTATTTTCCTGCTACAAAAGCATCTCTCTCGAACTTACCTTTTTTTAATCCCAGGAGCACAAATTGGAATTTTTTTTCTGCTTGAGATGTAATTAAAAACTCATTTGATTATAATATTTCTGGCTCTGTTTTACTTATTAAATTCCTGTCATCAGTTTTCTTTTATGAAGCTGCTGGGAAATGATCTCAAAAGCAACACATTTTTTTCTCTTCCTTGGCAGGTTCCCGAGCATTTACTAAATTACGTCCGTAGCACCTGCCCATGATTCGAATCAATCCACCAATTTCTCCCTTAAACCATTTACGTTTGTTTGGCAAAGCCCCAAACAACCCTCTTCCCTTTATCCATGTTTTTTGTTCTCCCTCTTGCTTCCTTTGTACTGAATAAAGAAATGGGGTGTGGTGGGTGAGTACGTGTTTCTCAGAATTCCTCTTTATCTTTGTTTTATATTCTCCTGAAACCCAGAATCGCCACAATAGAAAATTGTTTTCTTCTGGCCAGGTGCTGGTTTTAGGCAACGGCAGCAAAACTACCTTGAGGAATTATTCTTACACTGTAATACTTGTTATATAAGTGCAGTTAAGTGAAAGAATATGGAACTATGAAGATATTAGTAAAGCAAGAGATTATCCCAAACCTAAACTCCAAGGGTTGAGGTAATTACGTGCACTGTGCCTTCAGCAAGAGAATTGCTTCTCGAATTTAGAAAGGTGAGGGCATCCCTAAAAGCTTCTCATCAGCAAGTGACACCTGGTGGGTTCTGAGTGGATGCTATCTAGTTTGACTTGCTCCAAAAGGCAGAGGGGGCAGGTCACTCTCCAGATGCACACAGAGGGACTGTCAAGGTTATGTTCTCGGCTGCACCAGCCGGAGGATGCCTGGCTATACTCTGGGGCATCCCTGCTGCTTGGACACTCATTCAACCACTGTTGAAAAGCAGTCAGAGGCAGTGGACCAACTATACTGGGGCAGGAGTGGGCGTCCATTTTACTCTAAGCACTGATTTTAGAATGTTGTTCCTTATGTTGAAGTGACACTTCTATCCCTGTCACTTCTACCTCATGGTTCTAATCCTTGGGGTGCTCTCTCTTTAAACTACGTTTTTCTTTAGCACTGTAGGACTGTACTGCTCCAAGGGGAGGTTGGAGTTGGTGCTGACCTAAAAGCCCAACTTGGGATGCACTGCTTCTGTCTTGGGGCATCTTATCCATCCCACCGGTGCTCCCAAGCTCCC